TAAATGTAGAGACAGAGCTCATTCATCGTGTTGTGCAGATTGCACACGGGGTTGCACAGGGGAAGATCGGCAGCGGCTTCGACGTCTTTACCGCGGTCTATGGCACATGTGTGTACCGGCGTTTCCCCGTCCACTCTGTCGAGGCGCTTGTGAAAAATGTGGAGTGGCCTGAAACGGTTTCTGTTTCCGAGTTGTCTCAGAGCATTGCACTAGAGACGGAATGGGTTCCATATGAGCCCTTCCGCCTGCCTCAGGGCCTGAAGCTAGTGCTTGGGGATGTTCATTTTGGTGGTACCAGCACGCCGGGAATGGTGACGAAAGTTATGTCATGGTTCAAATCAGTTTCTGACGTGCCATCCAATCTATGGGAAAGGCTCAGAGAGAACAACGAAGCCTATGTCCAGCAGCTTCGCGCACTCCTTGTGCAAGCCAGTACCTGTTCATTGGAGTATCAGAATGCTCTCCATGTTTTGCAGTGTGTTCGTCTGGCGGAACACAAACCCGCAAATGAAACGGAGGAAAGCATCATAAGCGCCTTCAAACTGGCCGCTGCAGGCCGCCTTTACCTGCGGGAAATGGGCATCGCGGCCGGGGCCAAGATCGAACCGGAGGAGTTGATAGCTCTGCTGGATGACACGGCCGCACTCCCGGGCGTCTTCGCAGTCGGTTGCCCTGGTGCAGGTGGGTATGATGCTGTTTTTGCGCTCGTTATTGGTGATGCCAATTGCGCTGTCGTCGAGCAGTTCTGGGAGAGCTACACCAAGCTGAATGTTTGTCCCCTGCTGGTCCGAGAGGACTGCGGTGGGCTATTGATTGGTACTGTTTAACAGTGATGGAGTGCTCTCATGTAGAAAGACGGGACTCTTACGTGAATTCTTATTTGCCCTTTATCAGCTTCTTAGAAAGGGATAAATGAAACCAATGTGATGAGCAATGCATCTAAGGTATGCATAGATACCAAACGGTTGGACAGTTTGTTTCACTTTTTTCTTTGACTTCTGGCGTTGAGGTATATTTTCTCTTTTCCACATTGTCTTTTTCTCGTTTCCTTATTTCCATTCTCGTTTATTCGATAACAACTCTATAAAATTTCTTATTAATCATAAAGCTAACACGCGAACAACTACAATACTTTCTAAATCCAAAGTCACAGCAGAACAAACAAGGAATTGAGAAAAATGCTTGAGGCCCAAGTTCAGCTCGCTAGTCTGTGGAAGCGGTTGGTGGAATGCGTCAATGGTTTAGTGAACGAGGCTAATTTTGACTGCAATCCTGGTGGCTTATCGATACAAGCGATGGACACAAGTCATGTTGCTCTAGTACATATGCTTCTCCGTGATGATTGCTTCGTTAAGTACCAGTGTGAACGCAATAGCATCCTAGGCCTCAACCTTGCTTCGCTTTCCAAGGTGCTCAAAATTGTTGATAGCACTGATAGCCTTACGCTGCGCCATGATGACGACTCGGATTTGGTAACACTACTTTCAGAAAACTCTGAAAAGACGCGCAAATGTGAGTATCAACTTAAGCTGCTAGATATCGAGGCAGAGGCTATGGGAATTCCGGAACTGGACTACCGAAGCACGGTCACCCTTAGCTCTAATGAGTTTGCGAAGATAGTGCGGGATATGGCCATCTTCGGAGACACTGTTACAATCAGCATCAGCATGAAGGGTGTCAAGTTCAGCTCCTCTGGTGATGTTGGCCAAGGTTATACCTTTTTACAGGCTTCTGGCTCATCGGTCCGCCGATCCAAGCCAGAAGTCAAGTCCGAGGTGAAGGCAGAATCTCATGGTGACGATGAGGAAGTCCCGCTATCTCGCAAATACAAACAGGAGCAGCAGGGTGCAGTTGGAGTTGAGGTAGACATGGAGGAACCCATCACACTTTCTTTCGCTCTACGCTTCATGAATATCTTTGCAAAAGGATCCAGTCTCAGCGATCGCGTGACGCTGAAGTTTGCGAGGGACAGCCCATGCATGGTGGAGTACAGTATCGACAATGTCGGTTACTTGCGCTACTATCTCGCACCCAAGGTTGACGATTCTGAGTAAGGGCCTTATCTCATCCCTCCTCGTCTGATTGGCGCGTATATGTGCATTCGAAGTTATGTACGGCGTTCCTTACGTAGCTTTTTTTTATTTTGAAATAGATAAGATGAAAATTCAACAGCGAAAGGTGAACATCAATAAATTTTAATGTTCGATGGGATTTTTTGAGGTTTCCTCTTCCCCGCACCATCCCCTCTTAGCTGTCATTCAACCATAGATAAAATAACACTGACCCTGAAAAGGAGGAAAATATCGATAATACATCATATGATTTCTATAAATTCAAGATTCTCCTTGCTGGTCCCCATCTACTGGACTAGAGAAAGGAGTTGCATATCAAACGTTTGAATTGCACCCTTTAGGCCTCGCTTTTTGACTTAAATTCACATTTCCTCTTTATTCTACTTACACAATTTTTTTTATCAGTTCACCCTTGATTTTCTGATTTTCGAGGCCTAAATCAAATATATTGTCATTTAAAAAAATATTTCGTTCTCGGACTTAGGTATCGAGCTTACTAAATAAAGTATTTTAAAAAACTTAGCGATTTTTGGTATTAACTAATTGATTTACGGTAGTATCGAATATTTCGAGTAACGTTTCGACGTTTTGTAACAGTATTTCGAGGGAGAACATCAATACCAGTCATGGACAGCGTGACCTCTCCAACGGTTGATATTAAGCGTGATCTGAAGGCCCTCCAGACGGGTCGTCCTGTCCCTGGGTATAAGAACACTCCGGAATTGATCGAGGCGCATCTGGCCAAAACTGGTGGGAAACCGTATTTTAGGTTTCCACCGGAACCCAATGGCTTCCTGCACATCGGCCATGCTAAAAGTATGAACCTCAATTTTGGCAGCGCAAAAGCCCATGGCGGGAAGTGCTACCTTCGCTATGACGACACTAATCCCGAGTCTGAGGAGCAAATATATATCGATGCGATTCTTGAGATGGTGAAGTGGATGGGGTGGGAGCCGGATTGGGTTACCTTCTCCTCAGACTACTTTGAACAGCTGTCCGAGTTTGCTATTCGACTCATCAAGAAAGGCAAGGCTTACGTGGACCACAGTACCCCGGAGCAGCTGAGGCAACAGCGTGAGCTACGCGAGGAAAGTCCGTGGCGTAACCGTTCGGTCGAGGAGAACCTGCGACTATTCAAGCACATGCTTCAAGGCCGGTACGATGAGGGCGAAGCGGTTCTACGTGTCAAGGGTGACATGAAAAGTGATAATCCCAATATGCGTGACTTCGTTGCCTACCGTGTGAAGTACACAGAGCACCCACATGCAAAGGACAAATGGTGTATTTACCCAAGTTATGACTATACACACTGCCTTATCGACTCGCTTGAGGATATTGACTATAGCTTGTGCACCCTGGAGTTCGAGACGCGTCGGGAGAGCTACTTCTGGCTGCTGGATGAGCTTGACCTGTGGCGTCCGCACGTGTGGGAGTTCAGTCGCCTCAATGTCACAGGCTCGCTTCTTTCCAAAAGGAAAATCAACGTGCTCGTGGCAAAAGGAATAGTACGCGGGTTTGACGATCCTCGACTACTGACGCTTGCGGGGATGCGGCGACGCGGGTACAATCCAAAGGCCATCAATAAGTTCTGCGACCTCATCGGTGTCACTCGCTCCATGAATATTATACAGATTTCAAATCTTGAGAACACCCTTCGCGAAGACTTGGATGATCGCTGCGAACGTCGGCAGATGATCATCAATCCCATTAAGGTAGTCGTAGACAACTGGAGTGGTGAAATGGAGGTCGAATGCCCTAACCATCCACGAAAACCGGAATTAGGCACCCGGAAGGTTATCTTCACTGATAGCTTCTACATTGATGAGAGCGACTTCCGGCCAGTAGATGATGATCCAAAGTTTTACGGCGTTGCACCAGGCCCGCGTGCAGTCGGTCTGAAGTACTGTGGTAATATCACCTGTACTGGTTTCGAGCGCAACGAGGATGGAACGCCTCGCATTATTCATGTCACCATCGATTTTGATAGGAAAGTCAAACCAAAGACCAACATCACGTGGGTGAGCATCAAGCATTGTGTGCCTGTGGAGTTCCGCCTGTATACCGCACTACTCATGGATGATCGTGCTGCCATCGACCCGGAGTTCCTGAAGTTTATCGACGCAAACAGCGAGAAGATTTGTCACGGGTTTTCAGAGAAGTGTGTGGAGTCGATGAAGGTTTTTGAGCCGCTCCAGGCTGAACGTTTTGGTTACTTTGTGGTTGACCCCGATACCAAGCCCTCACATCTAGTGATGAACCGTATCCTTGGTTTGCGCGAGGACAAAAACAAATCGCAAATAAATGCGCAAGAAAAGAATGGCAAGGTAAGTAAGAAATGAGGACGACAGATAACGTAACCCTTTGTCTGATTATGCTGAAAAAAATAGTATGACGGTATTGATTTATACGTATATAAACGAAAAACGCTTCGATAAATATATAGTGAACCATTCGTCTTTAGTAGTCCTTTTTGCAAATTTATCGATAAACGCATGCGGTACCAAGTATTGAATGAAGCTTTCTAGTGCATTTAGTGTCATAAGTTTCAATGCATTTATCCAGCTTGCCATCTAAGACTCTAGCGCGTATCTCCTTTTTGTTTTCATTGCACGTCCTCTGATGCTATTTTAGGTACGAGAAGCACAAAAGCCATTCTTGAGCGCTTTACGAAACGTACGGAGCCACCGCTTAATCAAAGAATAGGTAGGTGCGCTTCTCGATTCGTCAGAATCATTATAAAGGAAGAGAAACACATCACCATAAATCAGAGGCTAAATAAGGCGCTTAAATCCTAATTCATAAGTTGGTATCCCTATCAATAACTGTTTTTTTTTGTCTGACATAGAGAGCTTACCGATGAACAACAAGCGGGCACGCGTTGAAGACAGCCAGAATTCCGTGATCCACGCCATTTGGCTTGTGTGCGGGCGCAAGGTTTCAAGGGACGAATGCGAGGGAGTTTCGTTAACCCCTCTAGAAAAGCAAGTAGTATCGTTACGCGAGAGCATTCCCTCGAACGCGCTCTTACTGGTGGCTTGTGGTTACCGAGTGAAACTTTACGGACGGGACAGCCACGTTGTTAGCCGTCGGTCCGGGATAATGTGCATTCGATCCCAACCTTTTGAGTATAGTAGTGTTCCCTACGTACGGGTGGAACTGTATATTCGTCGCCTCGTTGCTATGGGATATCATGTTGCCTTCGCCGACCAAGAGTCTGCAGCCGTGCGGGCTGTGGAAGGCATAAAGTGCGGCATCTTCCGACGCACAGTCTCGCACCTGTACAGCCGCGGCACGCTGCTTCCTGGCGAACAAATCCTGATCCAGAGCACTAGCGGCGGGATTGATGAAGCCGCAATGCCCGAGGTGGCCGATGAGGAAGCGAACTCAGCTAGCGCTAAGGGCAGTTGGGAGGATGATGTAAACGTGGAGAAGGGTGACTCTTCTGAACTTTTCATGTGCTTTATCGGTCTATCTACTACCACCACCTTGACGTCTTCTGTCGAAGCAGAGACGCTGCAGGTTCTCCTAGTCAGCTTCGTCACGCGGAGCCGCAAGTTATTCTCGATTTCCTCCACCTCCTCGTTGGAGGACATTGTTATGCAGTTTGACATCGTGGAGGTCATTATTGTAGGGCGAAGTAATAAGAATGAACACGACAACTTGGGTAAAATCACGACACAGATGCAAGGAATCCCTGAGAAGTATGCTCGTGTTCTACAAAATGCACTGCCGCTGCATTACGGGCCGACGTTGGTAGGAGAAGAGGATGGGAAGTGTGTTAGCGTTAGTGTGTGTGTGCAAAAAGAGGGGGACTCACTGGATTCCGCAATCGCAGCCTACTTAAAACCATATAAACTAGACAAGATGTATCAGGGGATGTGCGTCGAGTGTGCTCCCAAACTTGGAAAGAACGAATTCAGCATTGGTGGTGCAGGTGTGGTGCCACGAGATGGTATTTCCGGTGATACAAAGTCAGTGTTACGGCTCCCAGGGAGCACACTGCGTGCATTGGAAATATTCCAGAGCAGTATCGGCCCAAAGGGATCTCTTCTATCGCTGCTTGACCACTGCTTGACGCTACAGGGTTCGCGCACTCTGAGATTATGGTTGGCAGCCCCACTAGCCAGTCGGGCCGAGATTATGGAGCGCCAGTCGGTTGTTGCATATCTTCTTGGAGGTGGTGAGATGGGTGCCGTGCGGGACCTCCTCCGTGAATGTGGCAGGCTAGGTGATGTTGAAGCAATTGTTGCTAAAATATATTCTCAGCGCTGTTCTGTACTTGAGTATGTTAAGATACTCCGTATGTCTCGTACTTTATTCGCGACGGCGAGTGATATTCTTTCAAAATGTACTCCACCAACCCTTCTAGAGAGCTACCTCCGATCTCTGTCAACCCCTGCTGTGAAGAACTTTGTTTATGAGCATGAGGCCGAGATGGATCTCTCTGTTATAACACCTGTTCAACTTTTTACTGGTAAGGGCGTTACGATTCCAACTCTGCTGGAGAAACATTTAGAAGCTTTTAACTGCGCGCAGGAGGCTCTGACAACGGAATTAGAGCGAGTACGTCAAGTGCTCAAGTTTCCAGGTGTAGAGTACCGCACTATTGCTGGCACACCGTTCGTGATTGACGTGCCTAGTGCAAAATCTTCCCACGTTCCAAAGGATTGGATCGTTCTCACGCGAACCAAGAGCAATGTACGTTACCATACGCCGACCATTGTCCAGGAAAACATTGCTCTCTGTGCAGCTAAAGATCGTCTTGCTGCCACAGCAACTACGCTGTGGCAGCAGCGGCAAGAGGAGCTGTGTAAACCTGGCGGTGACATTGAAATGCTGGTTGAAATGATCAAGATCGTGGCTGCAATAGATGCGCTGTATAGCCTCTCATTGGTCTCATCGGCGAACGGCTACATTCCCCCTCAACTGGTTGAAATCATGGAGGGGGAAAAACAACCCGAAGGTACGGCCATCTCAATTGACGCGGGGAGGCATCCCATCCTGGATCAGTCCTTGCCAAACGGTTACGTGAGCTGTGAAATGCGTTTGTGCGTTGGTGGAACTTGGCTACTAACAGGCCCCAATATGGGGGGGAAGTCGGCGTTCATGCGAATGGTTGGTTGCTTCGTGGTGATGGCACAATTGGGAAGTTATGTCCCTGCGGCAGGGGCAACCTTACCGGTATTTACTGGTTTGTACTGTCGAATGGGGTCAAGTGATGCAATTTTGGAGGGAAACTCCACCTTTTTCACTGAGATGGAGGACACCAGTCGCATTCTGCGTGCCCCGGAGCTTTCCCGATCTCTTGTGTTCATCGACGAGCTCGGCCGCGGTACGAGCAGCTTTGACGGACTTTCAGTAGCTGCTGCAACCTTAGATTACTTGGTGAGCATGCATGCAACCTGCATATTTGTCACGCATTATCATCTCCTTTGTGATCCTTTTGTCTCCGGTAGCCTTGAGTCTAATATATCGACATCCACGGGAGGCTCTCAAGTCCGTCATAGTGTTAATTCTAATCCACTAGTAGAATGCCACTACATGGGATTCCAGATGGAAAATGAAGATTCAGTTTCATCCAACGGAGCTGATGCTCGCAAGTCAACATCACTGGGGTCCGATAGTCAGCGTGTGATTTTCACTTACAAACCGTGCCCTGGAGTAACGCCCTCCAGCTTCGGCGTCGATGTCGCGAAGATGGCAGGCCTTCCTGCTCACGTAATAAAGGAAGCAAGAATAATAAGCTTGAAGGAAGAAGAAACCCAATCGTTTCGAACGTCTCTGCATCTCTTGAGACAATTGATGGAGTAGTTTTTAAAGCATGAGCCCCTTTTCTACAACTCATCTGTTGTTTTTAAGTATCCTAATTTAGTTTATTACCAAGTGATTTGAATGACGTGCTGATGACATTTCTATTACTTTCCCTCGCTCGGTCACTCCTTGCGGTTGATCCATAGATTAAACTTGTTCAAATTTCATCTACAGTTAATTATATACTTATGTATATGTTAATTTCATCATATCTGATGACTTATCTTCACATACATGGTAAGTCTTTGCAGCACCGACTTCATGAAGCTTCAACCTTCCGTATCATACGCATTCAGCATGATTTACTTAGGATTAGTAAAACATTATTATTACTTGTTGGTCTTTGAAAAGTTTTAAAATGACTCGCCTTTTAAGAAGGGTGAGCAGCCCTGTCATCTATATTATTTTCAGCTATGTACTATCGTTCCTCTTTGTGTGGGACTATGCCAGCTCTTACCAGGAGTTCTTCCCAACTGTTGTCTCATTGGAAAGGTCAGCGGTGTTCTGGATTTTGCTGGCCAATGCTACAGTGGCCTCTATGTTGCTGCTTTGGTATTTTTTAGAGACTTTATTTTTTGGCACTATGACACTCACAGAGAGAAGTATCGTTTACAATGCATTCGCCGTCGATTTGTTTGAGTGCGTTCTTGTGCCGTTATACGTCGACTATTCGATTATGAATTTATTTACTGTTCTGACCTTATTTACGCTAGTTTTGCAACTTTTGCATCGGCTTGCTAAGGAGCGGGTGACGACCATGGGAGTAATCTCAAATCGCGCTACAAAGATCAAGTATTTTATTCAGCTGCAACTCTTCGTTCTTTTCGCTGCAGTTATAGACCTTTTTGTCATGACCCGTTTCGCACGTCTTGCGTATATGCAGACGTCTCAGAAGCTACTGTTGTACTACACTGTGTTTACACAATACTGGCAAATGTTCCTTGTTACCTTGAGAGTCACCATTTTGCTTTTTATCGGGTTTTACAAAAACGAGCGAACACCTATGGCCTTTTACACCGAGAGTGTCCTGAACTTGATTGAGTGTGCTAGCTCGATCGCGGCCTTTTCCTTCATTTGGTTTCACACTGAACTACCATTTATACGAATACGGACCTTTG